TGCATAGAAAATTCTTGTTCAGTTTCTGCCAAGCTTAAAGGAAAGCATATACAAAAGGACAGATGAACTATGGAAAGCAGATGGCTGCAAAGGGCACATATTACAGGAAGAGATCTTTCTGAATGCTATTCAGTATTACATCTTTATAGATGGTACTGCTGCACTCCACAGCACAGTTAGACTGAGCACACCTACTTGAATGAGATGTGGTTATGGGATTAGGCTTGCTAAAATTTGGCTCTGGGTTCTGAAATGCAGTTACTAGTTGGTTTTTCCAAAGATTCCTGTCAGACTGTGACAAATCTCGGACAGACAACAGAAGCTGTGAAAGATGACAAGGAAAGTAAGAACATGTGCCCTCCCCTGCAGAAATGAGTGAATGCTGGAGCCAGAAGAGTGATCAAGTCTCTAAGACCAGAACACTTACATCCTACAGCACTGCCTTGGATAGTGACCAATACTTCTTCACAAAAACCAGCATCAGACACTGGCAACCATAGTGGAACATCACTGAACACAGGTATTTCTGTCATCCACATTAATATTAGTGGAATATTCCAATGATGTCAATCTCTCAGGTGCTTCCTTTCCTTGTGTCACCCAACCCACCAAAGAGCAGCCCAAATCTTTTGCAAATGAACTTATTTCAGACTGCACAGCTGAGGAAGGTGTCCAAACAGGTAAAACACACAACTCTGCCTACAAACTGTATTCTTCTCACAGATGCTTCCACTGCTTCTTAACATCTTTTCAAAATATAACTGCTGCATAACTTGAATAGTAGGCAGATATTTCTGACTCATTTACTTTTACATGTCTTTTTTAACCCACATATTTCTCTGGAGAGGCCCAAAACCAAGATCTGATCAACTAATGAAGTCTATTTCAGCTAGAGCCCTAGGAGGATGAAAACATCTCAAGGGAAGAATATGTTACATCTCTTGTCTACATCTCTTCTTTTTCTATTTGTGCTGGAATGGGTTAATTTACATACAGAAATGTACATATACATTTACATACAGAAACAAAATAGCTTATTATTGGGAATGAATGCCATGAAAAGTATAATTGAGGAATTTTTCATTTTTTGGGGGGACAGAGCATTGTGATAAGTTATTATTAACAGTACTGCAGAGTAACTGAACATTTTCAGATACTGAACTGCCTGACTGGCATCAAAGTACCAAAACCTGCAACTTCTGCACCCACAAAACAGACATGCAGATATAGACAGTGCAGGCATTATAAGGAATAAGCGCAATTTCATATATATAGTCCCATCATAGTCCCAAAATTATTTAAAGGATGAAATCAGGCCTCAAAACTATCACTTACTACCATCCATCCCAAATAATTCCATGATTCTGTAAGAAATCTTTAAGAACATTATATCTAAGAATAACTTCTAATAGCTTGCTATTGTCCCATTTTGTGATATAATCAAGTATGGACGCCAAGTAATAAATCCTGAAGTCTGCAGAATTAACTATCATTTACAAGAAAGCAATTATCAATCGTGGAAAGGTAATACAAAGATCTAGGTAGACTGTACAAGAATTTGCAGAGCACGTGCACACACAAACACATTCTGCAGACAGCATGTACACTTTTTTCTACACAGTGGGTCATGGGTTTAACACAGTTAAAGATTCTCCTGAGGAACCACAACATAAAACTTCACCAATTGCTTTCACACACATTGAAAATCTTTGTTGGCATAAAACCTACATACAGAATCAGCAGAGTTACCTCACCACAAAACCTCTCTCCATTATGCTAATGTTTCCATCATATGAAAAACACCCTGATGTGTGAAATAGTGACATCTCAGTGAGACAGGACAAAGTAAGGCGAACTGCAGATCTTTGATCTGGCTGAAAGTGCTCTGCATTCTGATTAGAATTTTTGCTGGGATCCTAGGAGATGAAAGGATTATTTTTAAGTCTGACAGTTAATGGGGAGGGGGGAGGTATTCAGAAGAGAACAAAAAGAGGAGCACTGAAAGCAGATGACATCATGCCTCAAACTGGCCTTTACCATCTTACTGACATGCTCACAATGTAGCATAGCAATTTCCACACAGCTATTCTTGAGAGCTCCAGATCCTCTGTGGAGACAGTAGGGCTGGAGATCCACTGCTTTAAAAGGACAGAGAGTTGAAACAGGTCCAAATATAACACATATATCGTATTTTGGGGCCCTAAATGCATTATGGTAATGCTCCAGAATACTACTTTTTGAAACTATATTCTGCCTGACACACTAGAAGCAAAGTCTCTTGTCTACAAAGCTAACAATTACAAGTTCTGTCACTCCCATCTTCAGGAAAACCCCACACAGAGAGCATGGAAATACCATTACTTCCCTCTGATTCTTCCCACAGGCACAGCTCGCCCTTTCGTACCAGGAACATCTCCCAACCTTGTAGGGGCCCTTCACCTCAGATTGCCAGAGGCACCCAGCACTGGGGAAGAGACATCAAATTCCATTCTTTATACTCTACAAGCAGTTAAGGGGAGAAACACAGGACTCTGGGAGCATTGTTTATTTATGTTCAGGCAAATGCACATATAGTCAACTTGCCAGGCCATGTACATGACATTTGTCTGCAATAGATCTGTGTACCTCAGAAGACATAAAAAAACCCCACTTTCATTTGATACTGCCCTTCTCCTTTTTAGAAGTTTACTCTCCTTACATAAAGTACAGAAATTGTGCTTGGAACTGTTTCTCATTAAGACAGAAAAAGAGCTTCCCTGACAAAGCTTCTCTGCTTCTTATTCTCCCTTTCTAACCCCTCATTTATTTTGCATGGTGTGCTCCCTTTTGCATTTTCAGTGCCTCCCCAGCTGCAAAGACCTATCTTTATAAACATGTTCTTCATTTGAACTCCAGCGTTAAGTGCAAAATGTAACAACCAATAAAAGGGGTCCTGCAGACACCAATCACATTTCCTGTGTCCTGAAGTCTGAACACTCATTTTCTTTTGAAAGGGAAGCTGATGTTAGAATTAGCATTTTTACATGAATTACAGACCTCTCTACACTGTTTCACTGCCTGCATATACATGCGTTTTGAGAATAGCTTCATGATCAATGCTGCAATGAAGTCTCCTCAAAAAATGATGCTAACATCATCAAAAGACCAAGTATTTTGCAACACCCAAACAAAGCCGCATTACAGGGACACACACAAGAAAAATTCCAAGCAAAGCATGTCTGAGAAGCCATGTGGCAAATCAATAGTGCTCTATTCTCTCCACACAGACTACTTAAATCTGTACCAATTACAAATGATCATATTTGATGCACACATAACCATACTGTCACCAGCCATAGAAGAATTATTTATTAGGGAAACAGTAAATAACTCATTATTTTTGAACTGTAACACTCTCCATTTGAACGTGTTTTTAAGGATAGAAACCCTGTATTTTAAGCTGATGCACTAACCAGGCACAGATGAAGAGTAAAAAGGATATTTACACATAAAGAGATTCCCATACTATTCTTTCCCTCTTACTATGGCTTCTAATTTTTTCTCACTCTCTCTGAACTTCTTGTTTCAAGAAAAAAGAACCTGTAAGAAGAATGAAC